CCGAGTAGTCTGTTCCAGACAACTGTCCTTGTCTTATTGCTCCGCCATGTCAAGTTAGGCGCGCGTGCACGTTAACCACCAAATATAATTAACACGAGCTGAGTAGTCATGGAAAAAAAAAAGGACCACTTATTTCTACTTTTGGATTGGTTTGTAATTTCAAATAATTTACAGTGCACAAAATCGGGTTACTACATGTACAATACAATATGTAGAACAATAATAAGGATAGTCCATGAGTAATTCAGTAAGTCCAACTGTGTATACTGATCTCATTCTCCAACTAGTTTCACTATTTTTATCAACATAAAATAAACTGTGGCGTAGATAGAGTAAAAATGGAATACAAAACTTTTTGTCTTGCCATACGTTTTTACGTCCTAGTATATTAAAATGATTTTACTAAAAAATGTGTCACATTCAGGTTTGATTTTATTTAGTATATACTCGGTGTAAAGTCCCCTGGGTCATCTTCTCTTGTACTTCGGCCGTTAACATGATTATATTATTTATTGGTAGCTAATACGAGGTTAAAGAGTGAAAATCACTTTGTCTTGTTTATTTTTAGATTTTAGAAACCTTTAAAAATAATACATCTTAGGTGCGTATTAGTTTTAATTTCTTAGCGCGTCTTGAAAATAAACCGATGACGATGAATGATAATATTGCTTATAGTTATTTTATAAACAAAAATAATCTTTTTCATAGCTATTATATCCTCTTATCAACGATAAGAGTTCAAATCAATCGTTATTCGTATCTCTATATTATCTTATATCCGCTTATTTCTCCTCGTCATATCACTTTTGATAGGGTTATTATCGTAAAAACATATACTCCAAATACTTGATCTAATATGTGTATTTTGTGAATTTCACGATGTTCATGTGAAGTTGCAACACGTGTGCGCTTTGCCGTTAACATTACAACATAGCATATAATTTTGTTCAGTGCACAGTTCACGAATAGTCGATTTCTCCGTATTGCGTCGAGTTTAACATTTCCATTCAACCCTTAGCAGCGTAATATATTCCGTAACACGCAAATAAGATTGCTGCTGATCCGGTCTTGTGCAGTTTTCTCTGAACGTAACAAGAGAGTAACTCAAAGCACGCAGTCAAGTCACAATCGGAAACTTCGCGGGGGTTCTAATAAAGCTGAACTGTCGTCTGTGGTAAACATATTTCGGGCGTTACGACAAAAACCGAATTGACATCAATCAAAAACGGTTTCCAGTCGCGCGTGTTATGGAGAAGGCGACTAGTCACCTAAGAGTATATGTGTACATATGAAATATACGCATTAAAAGCGACCGAGACGGATTGTAACACGAGCCAATATATTCCGCACGAATTTGACATTTCCAATATTGCACCAACACCGCGCCGGTAGTTGTAGCCGTAACGTTTTTTTTTTTTTTATGTACAAAGCTCACACACACACACACCTGAGAATCCGGTATAGGACTCGTGTCGGTCAGACCTATGGGTAGAAGTGTAGCGTTTTTTGTTTTTTTTTTAAATTAAACTCAATATATACAATCGCTACACGCCGGTCGTTTATATTACCGATCGTCTTGCCAGCGGGGCCGTTCGAAATTTGAATAAAAGGCGAACATTTCTATACCGGTATTACAGGTTGCGGGGGTTTTATTTTTCTGGTCTTGCCAAGAATGTGCAAATCAACGTCATCCCTTCGAATGGGCCTCGTTACGTCGTCGCGATTCTCACTTTATGTATATTATATATAATATAATAAATACGCATCTACATAACACTACTTTCGTTTTTTTTTTACGCTTTCAAATGACGCGTAAACGTCTTCAGCCGTTTGTTATGGCCGTTATTACGATTTCTTCACCCCCCACCCTTCTCGTCGTGTGCGTGCATCATACCGCCGTGCCCGCGGAAAACGTTTTGGCCCCAAAAATCTCCTCAACCGCGACAGCCGACGGGCATAATAACTTTATTATTATATATTTTATATTCATACGGCTTGAAAAGAAGGCCACCTCCGCGCGGTTCGTTCGACGAGATGAAATCTCCGTTTTTGCGCTATTATTTTATTATTATTAAACTCAACCGTCGCCATCACTGTGACGGAGATTATGTTGTATTACCCGGTCGTTCTTTTAGACGTCGCGTGGTATAATAATAATAACCCGAACACAATGCACACAACACGGAACAGACGTTTAAAATCTCGCCCGAAGCACACGTTTGCCGGCGAGGACGGACTTAGCAGCACGAGTAAGCTAACCGAGCACGGTCTACTAATCTTGATGTTGCCCAAAGGCATCGGTGACGGTTTTTGTCCGTGCCGCCCCGCTTAATAACACTCGATTTTTTTCCCCTCTCGCGGCTCGCACTCGTATCAGACACCAGCGCACCTATTGTTGTTTGGGGTTTCAAAAACGACTTTTTTTTTTGTGTGTGGCGGGGAGGGACCGTCGAGGGATTTGTTTTATTTCGCCCGAGACGACGGAAGGCGGAGGCGATTTCGGAAAGCTAAGAGACCGTTTTTATTCCGACTTTTTTGGTTTTATCCTAGAGGTCTGGGTATAGGCTGTGGGGCGACTCTAGTGTTCGGGAATCGATTGCCCGAAAGCTTATTAAACTTTTATACATTCCGGACGGTCAGTGCCTTGTACACGCGGATTTCTGATCGACATTTGTTCGTAACGCGTTTTCGGCGACGCTATTTTCTTATGCCGCGAACACGGACGAAATAATAATCGTACAAACTGTCGGTATGGCGTATTCATTTTCCGTTTAAGCGCCGGACCTTAACTCGGGCCCGTAAACGGATTTTGGGGGAGAAGTGGCCAAAAAATAAAAACGCGCAAATATTTTATAAAATTCAAATATAACAACAAGGGTCGTTGCTTTCGTTTTACTCGGAAAAACTCTGCAAAAGTAGTAAAACATATTGTACTGTGTACAGCCGAACGGGGAACTACTCGGTGCTGACTGCTGCCATTACTAATACGGATATTATATACGTTGTTGAAATACTAAACAAAACGAAAACCCGTCGACTACAAACGACTTTGATACACCATACACCTACTTCAATAACCGTTCAATATCAGCAGCCGTAGTTACAGCTTTAACGGCGTGGAATACTTCTAAAATTTGTTTGATAAGTTTTTACGGTTTTGCGCGGCGCATTGTAATGTGTTGCGAAGCATTATTAAACTTGGCAGAGTTTCAAACGACGATAGGGGATTGTAATGGAAATGGTAGAGACTACCATTGCAACATTTTCCATTTAAAACGTTCACTTTCTCAGAAACACAGTCTTGTGACATATATCCATAGTCCAAAGCGTACAATGTTAATTATTTGGACGGTATGCACATAGTACACGATTAAAGCTATTGTTTGAACAGAATTGTCTCGCAAACAAAACTTTTATACGCGTTCGATGCTGTTCGTTTCTAGGTAAACAATTAGTTAAGGTCTAACGTAATCTCTTTATCGTCGTTAAATGTCCTCGGCTCAAAATGTTCAAGTAAACAGATTTCTAATCGCATTTTAAGAGGACATTATACCACCCGTTTTCAAGCTGAAGAATATAATCGCACAATCGTTTAAGTGACTTTTGAGTAAAAAACACCTGTTACGCTCATTTATGTAACCTCTAATGTTGAACAAGTTGTAGAGGAAAGGTAAGGGTGAATGGTCGACCATATGGGTTAAGGGGCTGTGTGTACGCGACCGGCAACTTAGTGCGGTGACAGATGCGAACGGCGATATAGTTATTCTATATATCATACACTTTTTTTTATGAGTACTTAATAATAATTTTCCTACCCGATAGTTTATTTATTTTAATCTATAGGTTTATTCTTTGTATTGTGTCATCATTATTCTATTATGAAATCGAATATAATATTTTCGAAGTATGTCGTCCACACCGAAATTGTTATTAAATAAACGTGTAACCTCAACTAATTACCAGTATGAAAATGTTATTGCTTTTCAATGTGCTGTATTTTGTAAGTATAAGAGTTATTATCGCTCGTTCGCTTGATCATCTAAGTAATGTTTTTTAGTAAGTTCGCTATCGAAAATACTAATTACACGTACGCAAATAGCGTCGCGAAGGGTAATTTGCTGATGGCTACATAAATTAGCATATAAAACCCTGGTTAGTCCTTTTCGGTCTGATGAATTTAGTTTTATATGGAGATATCTGTCTCGACTATCTCATTTATATTCAATCATGTTTTTGGTATAATTTTCTTCAGAACGAGTTTAGAATATTTAAGATAATTGAAAATTATAAAACCGTTTAACGTTCATTTTCTTCGATTTGTTACAAGCACAATACACAAGCTCGATCCATTATAAACGATGGATATGATTACTGAAATACTATTACTATTACTATATACTATTATAACCCAATTCATATTATGCATTTTAAGTCATTGCAATTTTTCTTGGATTAAAAAAATCGAGGTCTAGGAATAATCTCTGTTGCTTAAACCTTTTATAATGATTACATTCTATCCACTTAAATACCACAGTTTTCTCGATTTCTTACTTTTCTACTCCAATATCGGTCAGGGTTGAGTATTGTACGTGAACTAGATATACCCAACTTATACTTACTTATTACTGATTTTATACATTATGTTTGTTATATATTTTTATAAGTTCTTATCTCTTAGGTTTTACTATTGTTTGTGGCGCATATTAAATAAATAATAATAATTTAGTTTAATAAGAAAAAAACGTAACTTTTCCAGCACCATTGGGACGATGTCAATTGTTTTTAAAAACCGATATCACCAATCGTCGCCTCGTTTAGTTATCTTTGTATAGACTTGGTAGTATATAATCGTTTTCGGATAATGTACTTGACAATTAGAAAACATGCACGCGTTTGCCAAAAACAAAGTTATCCCGATACTAAGCGATACACGTTTTATTCGTTACAAATCGTGTTTGTGTTCACAAATACTGATAAGAATAAAAACTGTATCGTCTTACCTTTGGCTCTCGGCTTTTTCAGTAGTTTGGACACGATCTCGTCGTAAGCTTTCTCCTCAGCCACGCCCGAATCTTTGACCAGTTTTTCTTTGGCCGCGATGCATATATCGTACTTGGCCAACATCACTTCTAACTCCTGGAAAGCCTTAACGCCATAGTTTGACTCTTCGTATATGACAGATATGTAACTCCAGCCGAGCTTCCGTACGATCTCCACCATGGCTTTTACTTGGTGCAAATCGGACGGTATTGTTCGAGAAAAATATTCGAAACGCTGTTTGTTAGTTAAATCAGGACTAGTCGACCAATAGGACACCTGCAAAAACAACAGTAGAGTTACAAACCAAAAATCGAATATGTCTAACAATCAATGAAATGAGTATGCACTCACTGGAAGTACACATCTTAAATATACTCTGATATTTATGAACCAACAATAATATAACCGAATAAGTGTAATAGTTGTAATTGTAATAAAAATTGATTATAATCTCATAGATAAAATTAACACAAACCGTGAACACTTAATTGAGCTTTGCGTCAATTGCTAGTTTATTTTGAATCACGCTTATAGAGATGATTAATTGTTATTATTTATTTGATCATTATTGTTATTATATTTATCAATTTACAATTTTATATTTCTGATTGTAAAGAATAATGGCCATTTTTCGAATGGTAAAATTACTATCTAAATAATATACATGTATAATACCACTTGCGTTTTATGTTTATTGTGATTGCCAAACACAAAATATTTTATTACTAATAAAATATTACGAAATAAACTTTAAATTAATATCTCTTGCAACAAATAATATCATAATATAGCGGTTATAGTAGATATAAGTAATAATATATAACATTTTACTTTTGGAATTTAATCGAAAATTGATGGTGGAATTTTTCGATTAACTTATAAAGAATTTTACCGAAAGGCAAGAATATTTAATATTTATTTGACTCTAATGAAACACGAGTACAATGTACATATTAACATTGAATCACTAAATACCGTTACTAATGATTACCGATTTGTTACCTGACCACCAACTCGTGTGTTAGAATTAATAAATTATTTAAAATTTGTCAGAACTATACAGTTGTATGTACAATTATGTACATGGATGTTATTCCGGATCTTATAAAAGGAGCAACTGCAACATCGTTGGCAGCAATATATACGTCAAACATTCAAAAATCACACATTCAGTTGAAACATTTCGAGGGTCCTCCGACATTCGAACAGTCTCAGGAGGAGGGAAGTGGTTAATCGTGCCTTTACTCAAAATATGTACAAGTCCTGTATGCGATAATAAACTCTTATGGCCTATCCATTTTTTTTTTTTTATCTTTGAATGGCCCAGACCGTTTCCGAAATTGTATGACTTCCGAGCAGATGGTTACGGTTTATCTGTACGAGGGATAATATTATAATATACAAGAAAGGTAAACGAACGCGGGTGTGACCAATTCTATGAATTTATCTATTTCAAGTTGATCAAATTGATCGTATTCGTTAATATGCAGTGTATTTGACTGACCGATAGACCACCGTGGGTCGTACCGCCTAATATCGTTTAACAAGACGTTTAACCGTAGTCTGATCTCTAGCAAGTAACAGTAGGTAGCTGCTTAGCCGTGTAATTCGTATAACGAGATTTATTGATCGACCGAAAAACTGCCGTGTAAAAATATATATATACATCACATACAATGTGGTCCACCATTAATCCGAATCGGGCGGTAATGGACCCGATAAACTGCTCGTGTTGTCCGCGATAAAGGAACGCGCGCTAGAAAACCGCCATTAATCCACGTTAAGTCTCCCATTGTTTTTGCTTCATTATATTATTATGCACAGCCCGGCTGCTGTTGGCGCAAGCGCGTCGAACCCTGCATGATACTATTATACTAGATATGTATCAACGTGACACATTCTGTAATACCTACACACATAATGCGTTTTCGGTGAATACAAATATTTGATATTATATATTACATACGTATTACACATAATACATATATACAAGTTTTAACTGCCGGATTATGGCGATCGGTCTTGTTGCAAACCCTGAATTCCTGTTATGGTATTCGAGGGAACACTTATGAGTGCGAGCTACGTTGGTATATTGTTATTCGACCGACGGTATGAAAATTAAAATATTGAACACAAGACACAGGAAAAAAAAATACTTAAATGCGTAAAATCACATTACCGCAAAAAAATGCATTACATTTAAATTAAAATTACCAATCAGCGTGTTTTGTTGTCCAGTTTTCCCTTTGATTCGTAGTTATTGAAATTGAAGGTAAATTTCGCGGTGTGACGCCTAATGTAAGCGAAGTTAGATAGTGTAATCCAATCAAAAAAGAAAGAAAACATGTAATTTCCATTATCCAATTTGCTATGGACACCCCTTTCTAACAAATAATCTCTGATCACGGTACTGGCACAATTAGACGTCAGTTCAACAACAAATATTCTGTATCAATAGTTGAATAATATTTTTAATGATATTTAATATTTCTTTAAAACTTAAACTATTCAAACTCTAATGTCTATTTAATTAATTATTCCATTGAATAATTTATCGACCTTTTATTACCAAACAATATAGTCTCTGTATTCATACTATTGCATATCTAGTATAATTATCATGACGCCTGCACGCACAACAAATATAGGTAATATTCTGGTCAGCGTAGTTATCCGGCTTTGTCTCCGTCAATTTATTACAACATGTTAGTACAATATTTGTTAATAAAATATAAAACGTTAAAAATACGTGTTTTTATGGCATTATAATAATAATAATATAACAATAAAGCAATGTCTTAATATTGAATGCTTGAAATCGTGTTAAAATGATCGGTCGACAGAATGGTGGCGGGTCTCTGATATTATTGAAATTTATAGAAGCAAGTATTACCGAAAATCGAGTTACGAATAATATGAATAACAATATACGTAGTTCCAATCCAACTTATTATCATATGTGAAAGTATGCTAAGGTGCGATGCGGTTGAATAATATTTTCTCAGTAAATATTTATTTGACACCGAACACCCACGCAAGATTTCCCATAAACCATCCCCTATCATCATATTTATACGCATAAAATATTATACTGTTCAAGCTTCCCCTTCGATATTCGAGAACTCGATTACATCTTATTAATACCGTTAAGCATTGCGTTTGAGAACAAATTATTGGTTTTGTAAAGCTTAAAGTAGTAAATAAACATCGAACACACGGTACTAAACAAATTATTATTATTATTATCGCCAACATGATATCCCGAATTTCGAAACCACTTTATGTGCCAGCAATATGTAATTTTCCGCCTAAACTAGATTTGTATTATTAATCTGGTTAAACAACACACGAGCTTATTTAAAACGTTATATTTTGGCGGTATGTTGTATTCCACTCAGATAATTTGTCTCTACATATGCTAAATTTTTTAAAGAACGCCACACGCTCTATTTTTATTACGGCACGGCGTTCAGGCTTTACAACATTTATCAGAATCTTAATTTTAAATTAGCACCGAAGTGAACATTATTATATAATATAACGATAAGTTTTATTTGGTAAATCCATCTTTTTATCATACTATATCGCAACGTAATTAATTTTAAAACGTTTGTCATAATTTTACTATTATTATTATTGACCGGTCTTAAACATCAACCTTAATGACTATAACTGTAAACAAAATAGGACATTTTAAAAGTTAACTAGTTTTTTATGTCAATATTTGTATTGTGTTGACCCTACCATTTATAACATAATAATACAATATATAAAAGTATATATCACACAGAACAACGAATAATACCTGTCGACCGTCGAATACAATGCGACTAAAAGTGAATTATCATCGCGTCATGGCATAACAGTTAACATCAGCGTTACAACGCTGTACATTTACTGCTAAGTGCTAGTGGTTATCAATTATATTCAAAACTACCATAGTGCTAAATTATTATATGGTACCTATAAAGGTATTCGGCTAATTAATAATGATAATAAAAGAACTTCCCGGTGAAAATTTTGCAGGACGGGTAAAGTAAAGAATCGTGTACGGTATGTAATTTACAAGTTTACGGAAGGAGAGGAGGGGGGTCGGGCCCAATTAAAGAGCACCTCCAACGCGCCTATATGATTAATATATTTTTAAACTTAACTCGTGCATTTAATTTTGATATATTAGAATAGTAGGTGCATATTATGGCCGTGTTTCGATTCCACAATGAAAAACTTTAACGCGCGCGCAACATCACACACATATGTATGTATTTCTTTAATGTACAGTGTACAACTGGCTGGGCATGTTTAATATACGTTCACGTTTTGTATATAGTACGAATGTAAATAAGCGAATTACAATTGGAAATACGTGTAAACTACATCTACTGTAATATATTATGCAGTATGCACAGAGAATCGGCAGCGTGCCGACAAGACAACGCCTTAGAAGGTTTGATATTTTGTTTTTTTTTAAGTAAAAAATGTCCATAATATGCTGTTGGTATATGCGCGATAAAATCGCCTAATATTGTTGTGAATAGGTAGGCGAAGAACTTGATAATAGGGACATTGGGCTTAGAGTCAGCAGTACCACAAAACAAACGTCCACCCCCTCCCTGCCCAAGTATTACATATTTTGCAAAATTCACATATTTTCCTCTAATGATGACACATCACCGAACTCTATCTCTGTCACACCCGCTTTCGCCTAATCATCCACTAGCCGTATGCAAGGTACGATACATTTCATAGTAGCCGTATGTTTTGCGATAGCTTATCCTTTTTCGACCTTACCGCCGTGTCGACAAATATCGTTGTCGGAGACCCCCGAATGTATTTTAATCGGTACAACATATTACAGCCAAGATTTGTTTACTCCGCAAAGGTATAAAAGGTGACTTATGATATTTGTTTTATTATAAATTTTTACTATGTGTCCGCCGGGTCCTATTCTGTCGCCGTTATAGTAAAAATTTCAAAATTGTTCTCCACAAGCTAGCCGGATAAGCGTGCCTTTCTTTTCCTTCCGGACACCGACGCGATAACCCGAATTTATACGATCGGTAGGCTAATGGCGTGCGTCATGCATTTTGACCATACCGTCTTTCATCAGCATAATATTCAGAGTTTTGATTTGGCAGTTTTGACCGTTCACAGTCTGCCGGCGATTTGTTTAGTCGTGCGTCACTCGCACAATCGTTGTGAATGCGTATTGAATAATAATTTCCACCGGCGTGTAAAGAAAATTTGGCTCGGTCGTGGACCACCGAACTCCACCG